TGTGCTAGATTCCTTACCAACTTATGTGATGTCCCTTTTCCCTATACCTGGTGAGGTGGTCAAAATTCTAGATGCTTTGAGAAGGAATTTCCTCTGGCAATGAAATAAAATTGAGAGCAGTTTCAATTTAGTAAAATGGGCAGAAGTTCAACAAAGGGGGAATAATGGGGGTCTGGGAGTAAGGAAGCTCATGTTACATAACAAAAGTCTGCTAAGCAAGTGGCTATGGAGGTACAACCAAGAGGAGCATGCACTATGGAAAGAGGTTATACAACACAAACTCAGCCAAGAAGGGGAATGGTGTTCAGATGAAGTAACAACCACTTATGGAGTGGGAGTTTGGAGGACTATCAGAAGCTTTTGGCCGACTCTCGAAGTTAATACAAAAGTTAAAGTTGGGAGGGGGGATAAGGTCTTATTCTGGAAAGAAAACTGGATTGGTCAAGGATCTCTTCAACGTTTGTTTCCTGGACTTTATTCTATCAGTATGCATCTGGATAGCAAAATCAGTGAGATGTGGTCTCAACAAGGGTGGAATTTGGTATTTAGAAGGTTGTTAAATGACTGGGTGATAGGGTAACTGAACTACTGAATATGATAGAAGGCTTTCCGGGCACTAACTTGGAAACAGACAGTCTATTATGGAGACAACACCCAAATGGAAGATTCTCTGTCAACAGATGGTACAAGTGGGGTCTATCAGTAACTGGAGGAAGGAAAACAGGGACATGGAGTGTTGTTTGGAAGAGTGGCTCCCACTAAAGTGAAGTGTTTTGTTTGGCTGGTAGCTAGGAGAGCCTGTTTGACGCATGAAGCATTACAGAAAAGGGGCATCAACATAGCCTCTAGATGCTTACTATGCAAAGAGGCACTGGAAACCAACAAACACTTATTTTTGCATTGCAAAGTAACAACACAAGTATGGGCTTTATTCTTCAATTTAGCTAGCCTAAACTGTGTATGCCAGAACACAGCAGATTTATTGAGTTGTTGGATCAGAAGGGGGGGCAGCAAGAGTCATTGCTTGTATCTGGTGGAATATTTGGAAAGAAAGGAATCAGAGGATTTTTGAAGGAAAGGAATGCTCAATACAGAAGATTAAATGGAAAGTAATTATTTCCTTAGGTTTTTGGAGTAAAGAACAAAATATAAAAGAGGAAATCCAATTAGTTGATTTCGTAGGTTCTTTGTAAGTATTTCTGTTTCTTTTTTCTTCTTTTTTTCTCTTCTCTGTTAATACTTTTTGGAGGTGGCCAGCATAGCCCTTAATGCTGAGGAATACAAGTTACCCGTTTCAAAAAAAAAAAACAAGCCTGAACAATCATATGACTCGAATTTTAAAAAAGGCAACCCAATACAAGCTTCATAAGAATTAAAAAGATGAGGAACCTTGGAACATCTTCAAGCATAAAGACACGGAGAGGCTTCATTTCTGATGGTTCCCATTTTATAAATTCCTGCCGCCAGTTATGCAGAACACTTACAGGCGTGACTATGAGAGCAGTTTTCAATCCTAAATCCACACTTCTCATAGCAGCATACAAAAAAGAAATCACCTGTAGAAACAATTAATGTGATAGATTAACCACCCAAGGTCAATAGAAAAATAAACTCTGCCAGTTTCTTAAACAAACATTGGTTTAAAAGTCAAAGTCTGCAGAGAATACATCCCCTAATTTTCAATATTTCAAGTGAAAGTTGATTTGATTGAAGTTTTACTTGATTGAATACTGTTTGAAAACCTTTACTGTCCCCAATATCTGTCAAACTTGCATGCCAGCATAAAACAAGTAAAAATGAATGCAACATACAGTTCATAGTAACAGCATTTTCTCAGCGTCTCTCCCCCTTTCCGAATAAAAACTATGTGCGGAAAAGGGTTTAAAATGCTCTTAACGTATTGAAAATGGTTTGAAAATGCCCCAGATCCACCTATTGGTCAACATTGCCCGTAACGTATTCTTTAGGTTTAAAATGCCCTCTTTGAACAAAATCATGGCATGGCATTAGTGGAGCTTCTAATTAAACAAGTGGTATTAAATTATTGGTCCACGTGAACTTTTAAGCCCACCCACAGAACCCGACCCGTCCATAATGAACCCAACAAGCAAACCCCAAAGTAATATAACCTGTCAGTTCCTTTTCATTTTACACCTCCATTTTCAACTTGTTCCTAATACTGAAATATCAATCAACAAACCTTCGAATAGGTCCTTTAATTAGAATCTAAAACATAACTGACAAAATCATTTAAGTGAAATTCAACGTGTATTAGGCCAAATGCGTTGAACCAATGGATCAATGTTAAAAACAGAGGCAATGGTATAAACAGAAAATGAATCCACATATCTAAATTTGACAGACACATACCTTATCAGCCCATACTGATGCTACTAATAAAAGTCTCTCTCCCCAATTGTCCATAATTGAAATTATTTGATCTCTGATGAGACCCATATAAGTTCTTCATAAATTATTACCAATATACTTTCCAGTAAATTAACCTTAAAATGCCAAGCATAAAAATTGAAGTTTCAGTCTTCCTCTTATTAAAGTTATTTTTTTTTTGAGAAAGTTAACTGCTCTTATTAAAGTTATTTTCAAGGCTTAAAACACATCTTAGCTTATTTGATATTAAGCCATATTTACGTCTTCTCCATCATCATACTCTTAAGGTCAAAACCCAGAGGAACCTTTTTTAGCATTCAGAGATATTAGGAATATATTGAAAATGGAGTCTAAATTGAAAGGATTGAAGGGTTAGGTTATTTTGGGATTTGCTTATTGGGTTCATTATGGATGGATCGGGTTCTGTGGGTGGGGTTAAAAGTCCATGTGGACCAATAAACTAATGTCACTTGGTTAATTAAAAGACCCACTAGTGCCATGTCATAATTCTGTTAAAAGAGGGCATTTGTAAATCTAAAGAAGACGTAAAGGGCAATTTTGATACAATAGGTAGAAGGAGCATTTTAAAACCATTTTCAATACGTTAAGGGCATTTTAACCCTTTCCCAAACTATGTGGAACCAGGAAGTGTTAAGAGTCGTATACAATCACACAGAAAATGAGAACTTCTAAAAGTTTAGTACTCTTAGGAAACAAAATGATAAGTTAGTCAGAATCAGGAAAAAAAGACGAAAATACTGCACAGCAATGTTATGATGTAATTCAGCCAAATAATACCTGAAACGTTTTACCTAGACCCATAGTATGAGCTAGGATGCAACCAAGACCTTTATCCCCAGCCTTGACTTTCCTGATAGATTGAATAATATTTTCCCACATAAATCGAATCCCAGCAACCTACAATGACAAAGAGAGTCACCAATACTTACACTATCAGAAATTTCTATAGTACACATAACACTAGATACAGAACCAAGAGCCAAATAATGAATTCAGATGATAACAGATCAATACTGAATTTCGGGTACAGCTACATAATGCAATCAACAAGACTCTACTTACATTAAATTAGGAAAGTAAGATGAGATCTTAGTCCATATTTCTATTGATTCATACAATGAATCAAGGAAAATCTACTAACTGAATATGTAAGATTATAACTCAAACATCCACCATGCTATCCATCTATAGGCATCAATGTATAATCTAGCAGTCAGCACTCAACACACAGTAAACAGGTTCTCCTAGTTCTATGATTAAAACAACATACACCAGAGGTTGGCAGATGTTGAGTAAATATAGAAGTGATGACAGAGTGGGACTGAACTTGTAGAAAACTGAAACAATGTGTGCAAAAACTTTTCTGATTCCATGTAGAAACTTGCAGCTAGTTGATTGATTGATATCTGCTGGATCAGTATACCGAAGAAGCAAAAAAACGAGAAAATGAGTGAATCAGAAAAGATGTACATCATATGCCAACTTCTTTTCCACTGTTTTATATATCTTTACTTTTATCCTATGTTAAATGGACCTGGGTGCCGGTGCCAAATTTTCCTTTTCTTTTTTATGAAAAATGTCAAATTATGATCCTTGTGAGATGTCAACTTTGGTTTAAAAAATTTACGAGTACATAGAAAGTACTGGATATGGGTACAAAAGATTTGCCCAAGCAAATGTATGAAATTATTTGAGTTTTACTTGGGTATAACTAGTATTACTGAAGTAATGGAGACATGTCACTTTTCTAATTAGCTGGAAAACCCAAGAAAAACACTCTTTTCTTGGTAAAAGATCGTCAAACCAGTTAAACAAAAACATGACAGTAATATAGAAAATTTTCCAGCCACCATGCAGCATACCCCAACACTCCACTGTCCCAAAATAGCAAAATCTTTCAGTTCCTTTGGTTTTGAGATTTTCACATTCAAAGTAGTCTCTCTATCTTCGCCCCCACCCCCACCCCCATCCCCTCCTACAACACCATAAGATGATTTAGTTGCTTATCTTTGCCATGGATCTTTTCAGATTCCAACCTTGGCTATCGTTAAAGTAAAAGTATTTTATGCCAAAAGTAAGAACGATTTGCCAGAGATTAATTAGGTGTAGACAAGATAGGCAAATAGGTATAATACTTTTTTACCAACTATTCTATCTTACGTTTTTTCAACTTCTTTGCCCGTGAAAAAAAACAATTAAAGGATCAAACTCACCGAGACCTCGACTAAATCTAACACAATTTGTACTAGTTCTAGGATCTGACAAAGATCCCACTGGATTAGGGTCATGTCAGGAGTGCTCCTCATCAAAGTGAAGGGCCTGAATAATGTAGCATTTAGCAAATAAAGAACAGCAGACCAAGAAGGAGTTTCATCTTTGTTTTCTATACAGTATAAATTGGGTGTCCTAGATTACATGAACTTTGGCACAGGTCAACCTGCAGCTACATGTAAGCAACTATCCAGTACAGTTTAAAAAACAAGGTACTGACTATGTACCTTGAATATTTTATAAGTTAGTTACTATAGTTTGAAATGATATGCTTGCTCAGTACGAGTACTTCAAGACAAATGAAGAGCTCATGTAACATAGGGTTGGCCGGGGATTTGCAATTGGAATGGTGTTTCTGGCATTACCAGGAGGGTAATTTGTATGAAATTGTTGAAAAGTTTTTCGAAAGAGTGTATTTAGGGTTCCTTGGTGGAGACAAAGGAACCAGAGGTTCACTTTGCCGCTCAGAAATTATGAATAGAAGGTTATGCAAACAGAAATTTGTTCAATCAAATAACAAAGCAATTCAGTTTAACAAAACAAACAACCCTTGTTCCTCGAATACACGTTCTAAGAAGCATTTTCTTTTCAGGGCCTAGAATCATAAAAGAGGAAGACGACTTTAACAAATCTCAGAATATTTAAGTGCCCTTAGGGTGACATGTCGAAAGGCCAGACAACCTTTAGATGTATAAGCTAGGTAGATACCAAAAGTGAAATGTTGTCTTCTTTATGTAAAGAAATGACAAAAAATAAACATGAGCTAGAGAAGATCCTAGTGATGAAGGAAAAAGGGAAAACAGGGTCAACTTTCTCATTCTTGCAACATATTAAAGTACTACTCACAAGTTCAAAATATCAAAATTGTCATGATGTGAAATCAGTATACTACTTGAGAGGGCAAGCAAATAGTAAACACGAGACCAACAACTGCATAGAAGGAGACCTGGTGAGATTTTAGTTTTGCTGAGATGCTGCGTGGAATCCTGACAGCCTCTTCCCCCTCCTCCCTCACCACATTAACTATGTAACCAGTTTCAATATCACCAAGCATTTCCAAGCTACCAGTTTCATACGAGCTTTTGCTACAACCCCCAGAATCCATGAACATAGTCTTGCTTGAAAATTTTGCTCCCAAAGATTTGAGGCGTTCTTGGCGTTCCTGCAAGTATACGGGCATTAATAGATGCCTTGAGAAGCAAGCATTGACACGAAATTATGTGATTGCTAGGACTTTTACCTTTTCAATTGCAATCTTCCTTTTTGTCTCCTCCCCTAACTCAGTATCATCCAGGATTCTTCTAATTTTCTTTTTAGGCCTTCTCTTGGTGCTGCTTCAAGAAAACATAGTCCTTCCATTATTTTATTATATTAAGAAACATAGTCCTTCCATTATTTTCAGTCTATTTTGTAATACAGAGAAGAAAATGGTAAACGTGCTGAAAAATAAGGAGGCTCATCAACCATTATAGAGCATAAATACAAATATAAAACCTTTAAGTCCATTTGGGTGCAACAGAATTGGACCTCCATATATGAGGCAGAAAATACCTTTTTTTTTCAAACTAATTGTGCAACAAAATGCTCCAGAAAAACTCTCATTGGTGTCATCAACAACCGTGGAAAAAGAGAATAGGAAAACAGGAAACACATCAAGCATTAATACTCCCTCGCCACAATACTTCTCAATTAGAACGAGACACGGCATTTTCCAAAACATGGGTGAAACAGCTTAAAATAAAATCTATTTATCTAGAGAATGCAAACTTCTTTTGTATTATTAATATGCTACATGTTAAGAGTTCATGAAACTAAGAGTAGCTCGCTCAGGCACACATGTTGTATGAGCTTAATTGATTGCCTTAATCATGCAAAAATAGACAAAATTAGGGCAAATTCTAAAGATATGCAACTTAATGATGTAGGGATACACATGTACATGATTATTAAGTACATGGTGTACCTTTTATGCCCGTTGATATCAGCATCTGAAGCATCTGAGTTATCTGAATCCGTGTCTGTATTTGAATCTACCAAACCTTGAGATTCCATGATCTTCTCCAACACTGAAACCAACGGATGCAGGATACTTGGGGAGCAACAGCAGCATTGCCAACCAGATGTTTTAATTCCTGATAAAATTTCTTCACCAAGGTTCCTCCTTATACACACACTACAAAATAACCTTTTGCATGATTTACAACTTAACAGATCACTGCAACGCCCACACCATCTGCAGTAGCACTCTGAGCAATCAACATCCTGTACAATGTTAACAAGATGTAGAGTGAGAAAAAGACCACTGTGAATCATTACATCTTGTTATTGACTGAATTTAAAGTCAACGAACATTAGTAAAAAATAACAGGTAATGACATGCATATCCCTGATTGCAAATATCCAACACTATAGCAATCTCTTAATGCGTCCAAACAGAAACGCAGCTAATTTTTTTCAAAAATGCTATTAACACATAGATTGCATAAAAAAAAATTGATCATGGAAAAAAAAATTATGCAATCTATGTGTTAATAGCATTTTGAAAAAAATAGCTTTACTGTAACATAGATTGAATAAATTTGAAACTATCTTTATTCTAATTAAGCAAGGATGGTTATAACTTACCTGCATCTTTGTTTTCATTGAAGTTTTGCAGTCCAGGCAAAGTACAACGCTCAAAAGAGGATGTGCATGGACTTCAATAGCCACTTTATCACAAGCAGTGCAGCGAAAATTTTGCTTCTCATTGCATACAGGAAGGGAACTAACTGGAAGCACATTATCTCCATCCCTTTGTGGATTTGATTGATCTTCTGTCTCGCTCAAACTACATGTAGGAGACAACATTTTCCCAGGAAGATCTTCCTCATCACTATCTGGTGTAATGATCCGAGCCTTTTTACTTTGAGGCTCCATTTCTTCGGAGTTGTGTAAACGTTTCAACCCTTTGGCCTCAGCATCAATTTCATGTTTTGAAACTGTGGCATCAATAACCGATGTAACTTCATTGCTTTTTGCCGCATCCCCATCATCAACGGTGGAATACTCTTTCGTGTCGAAGCCAAAATCTTGAGATAAATAACCATTAGTGTCATCTGTTGTATCTTCCTGTATCTCCTCCTGGTTGACATAACAGAGTACCAAATGAAGTAGAATATAATATAGGAAAATCCAATAACTATGAAGGGGTCGAAGAAAATTATACAGCCAAGCTTGTGCAATCAACTACTTTTCTGATTTGATAGAAGATTTTGCATAATCGTTGTTACCTTCATCAACATTACTGCCTGAAGAAGAAGACTTAAGGTACACAGTGAACAAGAAGACCTTGATAGTTCTTTAGTACCGTAGTCATATCTAATCAGAACAATGCAATTTTGGATAGCACACCCACTTACATACATTTCCTATACAAACTCAAATGAGTAACACAAAGTTCAGGTTAACATTCAACCTTTTTCCTTTATCCAATTATGACGGGTACACAACGCTAGCTACTCTTCAGAACTTTTATCTTCTCATTCTTCTATCCTTATTTTAATAGAGAAAACACTAGCCCCCAAGGCTCCGGTTAAGTGGTAAGAGCACAGCTCATGATGTGTAGATAGGCACAAGCCAAGGGCCCGTGTCTTACCACAAGCTTTGTATTTATGAGGTGAAGGGTGGAGGCCCATCTTCCCCCGAGTTTCAGACCATGTGTCATTGGTGCTAGGTGATTTCTCGATTACCAAAGAGAGAGATAGAGAGAGAACACTAGTTAGTCCCATCCACGTTGTTAATAATTCCAACCATCACGTTGACAAAAGGCACTTAAGGATTTAGAAAGGTGATTCCACCATTGGAAACTATATCTTCTTCGAATTTCAACATTTGAGGAGAAGCTCAATTGGTAATGTTCATCTATTAGAAAAAAGCAAGATATTTATGGACATGGTTTTTGGGTTAATGGGCATCAAGAGGTAAACTATAATCCAAAACTAGTGGTTTCATCTTTCAATCGATATGAGTAAACTAAATTATGGGTTGAATTAATGATAATGAGTGATTTGAATCATTGACAATTCAAGGTGATGAAATTAGGAAATTCTTCATACTTGAATGAGGTAAGGATACGCGAGAATAGCAAATTGTGGTCTAATACGGATTGAATCTCCTTGGTAGTTGGCCCTAATTGAATATAAGGTAAAACGATTGGGAATTCGCTTATAGGTTGTCCTACGTAGATAGTTATGATATTTTTCAAATAAATAACACTCAACTTGATATTGACTGATTCTAAATTGTTGAACAAGCAAATGGTTAGCCTATGAACACGAGTTTGGGGTAAGGAAGCTAGTAATGTGAGAAATGGCTCTTCTTTAGCTTGCCTTTTTCAACAATAACATGATTCGAAAATTGTTTTCGAACATTAAATTTATTTATTGCATTGGGACTAGTAATATAAATGATCTGTCAATTAGCAAAAAAAGATTATTTTGACACATGAGTTCTGTTACAATGTAAAAACGTTGAATATTCACATGAGATATCATTTATGGTTATTCTTCATTATTATGCTATGATCAAGCCATCAAGTAATTTTTGAAAAAATGCACATATACAAGTTGATGTGTATGTTTGTATCAAGTGTGTATATTGAGATACTTATAATGGGTAGCAACATTGCTAAACTACCATTATTTAACAGAAGAGATTATTAGGCCTAGTGCACAATGTTGATGATACAATGTTGTGCCTTCAGTTTTAAGAGGACAAGAACTAGCAACTAGTGTTGTACGCACTAAGACTTAACTAGACAGCTACATTGACGACTACAGTGACAGTAGCCTTGGCTTGTAACTTGAGATGTAAAACTATTTTAATGAAACTGCAAGTATTACTTGTGTTAATTAATATGTAATGTCAACTTTTACCCCATGTTACTTTGATTTGGAAGGAGCGTGTTTTTCATATTGTATATGTATGTATATACTAATCCCTGACAAAACGGCAATGGTTAAGCTATCCACTCACCAGCCGGCGTGACTAACCTCCTCTTCTCATTATTTACAGATTCCCCAGCTGATGTGGGTACTACCCCAAACGTGTGACCGCTAGTAGAGAGTTCCCTCAGAGTAAGCCTCACACTTGCTACGCATGGGCAGTATATTTTTATTATTTTGTTAGACCTTTCCCTTTTATAATTTTTGGACATATTTCTGGAGTTATGCTTTCACTAGTCAGTCTTGAAGATCCAGAACTGATTATACGAGTCTGGTTTTTGTTGATTATTGAAAAACAATTGTTATTGCCATTGATTTGTGTTGTGGTGATTAATTCGCTGATAACACGATGGGAATGCTCTGGGTACAGAGGACACTATCGGACTTTTGTTGTGAATATGGGTAGGCTGGCTAGGTGAGCGAAGCATAAGCACCATTCACGGCACAAAAATTGGGTGGCGATGTGAAGTCTGTCGGCTTCCTCCATGGAAGTAGTGAATTTCCAGAGGTCAGATCTTTTGCTCATAATAGTTCACACTCAAGTGCAATGGTTCAAAAGCCCTTCACAGATGATACTCTTCTAGAAACTTATTAGAAGCTAAAAAGATGGTTTAAAGCATGCTAATTACCAATTTCTGTCTGTTCTTGTGTCTTCTCTGTTTTAAACATCTCCTAAGCTTCAGATCAGTTTTTAGATCATCTTCCTCTTTAACCTGGAAGACAGAGAAGTAAAAAAAGAATTGTTAACAATGGAATCAACAGCCCAGAGACAACACCAGAAGTTACCTCTCATTAGCTGAAAATTTGAAATAAGACACAAGCATACATTGGACTCTTTAAAAGAAAAAGAAAAGAATATGTTTGGAGAAAAAAAGATCAAATGAAAAAAAAAATGCAATGATCCGGCTCCATATTTTCAAGAAACGAAGTATCAATGTCAAAGAAAAGAACTAGAATATACCATGCACAGACCTTCTTAAACTTCCTCTTCTGCTCTTCAGAAAGATTTAACTCTCTTTCATTTGCAATGGCATCCGCAACAAACGGATCACCAGAACTGTCTTCAATATCATCAATCTCCTCAACCTGAGATTGGATTGCATATAAGATAACTGATACTTTTTAAGTAATCTCCTAGACAAATTAAACAAAGATCCTCTGAAGTAAATGCATATAGGAAACACAGCACTGTTATAATGCGGCAAAAAGTTTCTCGAATATAGAATACCATGTGAATATTTTTTGTGATCAAGAATACCATTGTAAGTTTACAGTATACTTGTCGTAACACTGGTATGAATCAGGAAATAATTTCAGAAAATGCCCACTTGACAATTATGAAAAGCAAAGGGCAAAAGCACATTAGCACCAAGCCTCCATCCCAAAGTAAATAGAATAACTTCAAAGAAAAAATACAAATTTTAGAAAATTCACAGATTAAATGGACATCATTTGCCTTGTTATAAATTATACTCCCTCCATCTCAATTTATGTGGCACTTTACGGATTTCGAGATTCAAACAAGTCTCTCTTTGACTGTAAATTTTTCATATATCTTTTAAATATTTTGAATTGTTAATTATGGTGACTTATAAGTACTTTTTACGTAGTTTATAAATATATAAATTTCATTTCAAAAAATTTGAAGATTCCATGCATAAATTCCTAGTCAAACTTAAACTGTTTTGACTCTCGAAAAACGAAAAGTGCCACATAAATTGGGACAGAGGGAGTATTTCGTTATTCTTTCAAGGACCATTGACTGGTGAACAAGTTATACTAGGATTAGAATGTGGGGATTAAATAATGGCAGTATTATTTAACGGAAATGTTTTTATTGGTAGATGTTTGGTTCATTGGAGTAAAACTGGATATACCGGATACAATATAGAACATGTGTTTGGTTTTACAAAAGAGTATAGACATTAGACAAACTTGGCTTCCTTGAGAGACTTTGTAGAAGAGTTTTGGAAAAGAGCATTGTTGTTATTTATTGTTTTTTTTTTATGATGTTATTTTTTGTTGTTTTATCCAAGATTAGTTCAGTGAGATTGTATTCTGTGGTACAGATAATACTAGGATTGCTTATACCAGAATAAAAAACTTAACCAAACGCGTGAAAAAAATAATCCCACATTCTATCCCGGAAATGTTATCCCTTATCCACGTAAAGCAAACGGTTGCTTAGCATTCAATCTTTACTTGCTTTATGATAAAAGTGAACAACCCCTCAAGAGTCTTATTTTATTTTATTTTGAACTAGGTAACTTTGTATTATATCACAAAACAGTACATGGGTCGTACTGTAACCTTATATACAAGTGTACTCCTGATTTCACTTCTCTACGTCTAAATTGAGTCTAACACATCAATAATAGAGACAGTGTCATTAGAGTATAACTGATTACACCAAAAGACTAAAAGTAAAATGCAGTTTAGTTTAACTTTCTGCACATTGTTCTCTATGCTCTCAAAACATCTTGAATTCCTTTCTTTCCAAACTGCCCACCAGATAGCCCCCGGGATAATTCTCCATCTACCTCTGTCCTTAGCATGTACACCTGCTTCCTCCCAACATAGTAATGCCTCAGCCACCTTCCTGGGCATTGTCCAGGAGATGCCTTTGAGGCTTAGGAATATTCTCCACAGATGATGGGTGTACTTGCAATGTAAAAATAGATGGTTAACAGTCTCAGATGTTTCACCACATAGGAAGCACCTGCAACACAAGGTTCTCCCCCTCTTCATAACATTGTCATGTGTAAGGACTGCTTCCTTAGCCATTGACCAGACAAAAAAGGAGACTTTGTGAGGGACTCTGCTCTTCCATATTTGCTTCCAAGGCCAACTTGAGCATTGTTGATCTGTCTGATCCATCAACTTGTAGGATTTGTTGACTTTGAACACTCCCTTGCCATCTCCTGTCCACCACAATTTATCCTCACCAGATAGCCAACCCCTCAAGAGTCTTATTTTAAATCCTTTTCTACAATCTATTACCCTGTTTTCTACACCACTATCTTTCTGAGACTCTCAAGTTCAGGAGAAATATATTACGACAAAACAGCTACTACTACGCCTCAACCCCAAGGAAATTGGGGTTGGCTATATGAATCCTTACTGTTTCGTCACAAAAAAATTAGCTTATCTGACACTACAAGTTCTATATATCTCAACTAGCATATAAAACTCTAACAAGACCAAAAGGCTCCAAGTGAACATTGAACCTTAAGTAAATGTACTAACATGAATGGACCAAGAGTCTCCTACTGAACATTGGAGCTAAAGCAAACATACTAACATAACTAAAACGTAATCCCAACTAATTAGAATAGCTATATAGATCTTTTACTTTCACTATGCTCTATTTTAAGCTAGATCCACATGGGTTACAAGAGAAGGTGGGTCCTTCATGAAAATTTGTTTCCATGTTGTTTTAGGTCTAACCTGTCCCTTTCTAACACATTTAATTTTCATTATTTCACCTCTACAAAAATGATGCATCCAGAGGTTGACGTAGGACATGACCAAATCAATTTAAGCAACACGCACTTTCTCCTCCACATGTGCTACTTACACCTGTTGCAGAATGTGATCATTTTAAGCCTTATCTTGTAATGACCATACATCTATATTAATATTCACATTTTTGTGACACTCATCTTGTGGGTATTTGAACTTTATAAAACCAATATTCACTAGCAAAACATTGTTGGTTTTATCTGTGTGTTACATAGCACTCTGGTACCGTCTTATTTTACTTGTGTAACATCTTCATCTTGGAACATCAAGCCTAGGTATCTGAATTAGTTTGCATTTAGGCACTGCAGCTTCGGGCTTGTCTCGCCACAAATTACTTTTCTTATCCTGACTAAACTTCCAGTGCAGTGCATATAGTTTTACTGGTACCTATTCTAAAACCTTTGCTCTCTTTAGTACATCTCCATATTTGAGTTATTGGTTAACAATCTTTCTAGTTTTGCCAATAAGCACAATATCATTTGAAAATAGCATACAATGGAATCTCATCTTGTATATTATTAGCTAGCTCAAACATAACTAGGATACCCAAGTATGAGCTAAATGTCAACACTCTCGCTAGCTTCGTCAATTAGCACAATATCATCAGCAAGTACCATAGGCCATGTAATCTCATACTGTGTATTGCTAGTTAGCTCAATCATAACTAGGGTAAATACAAGATGATCCCAGTTTAAATCAACAATTATGGCAACTCCTGTATACCTTCTACCACTATTCTCTACACTATGTCGGTTCCTTTGTACATACCTTTTATGGCATTTAGGGAATGAGTTGAATAAACTCGTTACTTAGATAGGGTTTTGATTGGTCATTTTTAATTTAGTTATTGGAAAAGAGGGCACCTAGGTATTTTGTAGAAAGGGAAGGTGGAATCATTGAATGACGAAAAGAGGCAGTTCAGCAAGGAAGGAATGGGATCAAGGATGGCTTCTTTGTTGGCAGAACGAAAGGCTATTTCGTCATAATTACTATAAAATAACTCTACCTATAACTATAAGAAAGGAAATTCCTTTTTCAAACTCTAATAAAACAAAAAAGACTTGTGGTAATTTTTTACAAACAAAAATAGTCAAATGCTGTGTTAAAAAAATCGTATCAAATTGATTATATAGTTAAAAGAAAAACTAAAAATACATTAAAGAAATTATTAATTAACATAAATATATTAAAAGATTATTAATGTAAATCCCTTACAAGAAAATATATTCATTTCTGAAAATGTCTGAATTTTACTGATGTCTTGAAGAGAAAAAACAGGTTCAGCTAACTTTTAGCTTTCAGTAACTTTTTGTTGATTTAATGACAGGCCTACAATAAATTTTTATATTATTTTTTCACAAAATAACTTTGTTATACTCTTAATTGCTAGAGATCGCCGAATTAAGGTTTTTCCCATATTAGTATTTTTTTTTCTTCTTGTTTTTGAAAGTTGAAACCGGTAACTTCTGTGTATTAATAGACAAACAGCATGTAGGCTGTACTAAAACCATATTTACAAATGCACTTCGGCTATTAAAAGATAAACTGTCATCCTAAATGCTACTAACATCAATAATATCAACAAATTCTTCTGAGTAGGTCTGCTTACACCAAAAAATCAAAAAATCAAGAGACAATTCAACTTGATCTTATGCAAAGAGTTGCCCACAGCCTCAAAGCATCTGGAATTTCTTTCTTTCCAAATTGTCCACCAAACACTAGCTGGGACAACTCTCCATCTACACCTGTCAATTCCATGAGAACCGGCTTCCTCCCAACTGTGTAGAACATCAGTGATCCATCCAGGCATTGTCCAAGATATTCCTGTTATGTTTAATGAACATTCTCCAAAGTTGTTCCGTAATTTTACAATGTAGGAATATTTGTGCTTCTTGCTTATTAGTACTCTTGTCGTTTCCTTGTTCTTTTACATATTATGTCTTAAATCATTTTCATACTTGCAAACTATCTGCTGTCCCTTCAAGGAGTTCGTTCATATTAGAGGTGTAAATTGGCAACGTCCAATCACAGGCTCCTCAAGCTTGCTCAACCCATAAGGTTTCAAGCTTGAACTGCTAGAATATGGATACAACCAATCCCAAGCCTCAAATTATCAATTTGAAGTTGAATGACATCTATTGACTTCAAAAAATTTGTTCAATTACAATCTTGCTTCAATATCGCAATCAAGATATCCTATATCACTATCCAAATACTTCAAATAAAAGAGATTCCATAGATAAAAACTGTAAAGCACTTGGTTAGTTCTATACACCCAACATAATGCTAACTATAGGCATCATCTCTTTCATCTTAAGCTTCTGCACCTCTTACAATAATTGTCACTCCATTTCTACTCAACTTCTCAGCTCCTAATCTTACTCACTGTTTCATTGCATCCTTTTTTTTTTTACACTAGTAACATTTGTATTTCAGTCAGTACTGAAAAACCATATTTACAAAAAAGAAGAAAAAGATTAGTCTTTCCAATGCTAAACCAGGAACTAGATGGACCCTAAAACATCTATGATTGACTCAGTCTCATTGGAGTAGACATTTATACA